ATTATCTATCCAAAAAAATAAAAAAATAATAATTAATTTAGAACAAAATTTAAATCAAATAACGATAATTATTTTGAGATAAATTAAAGAAGTATTACTATATATATGTTTTATCCAAAATCCAATTGACATTACATAAATTTATAATACCATCCAATTTTCTGATTATTTGGGGGCTAAATAGGGGACTAAAATTGTACCACCCTCACTAGAAACACTATTTTTTTAAAGCTATATTTGGTTTAATTATGGGTAATGATATATAAGTAATTTTTTTGTATAATTTTTATATGCAACTTTTACATGACATTTAATAAATAGATGTATATAATATCAATGCATTCAATAAAGTGAAAAAAAATATCATTAAATAATATGTTAGGTTATATAAAAAATTATTTAAAAAATTCTTTTTCAATAATTTTCTTTTAATATTTGGGAGAACAAGTATCTTAGTTATTAGCTCTAAACTGATAACGAAAAGTGTTTGATTTATAAATACAACAATACTATAATTAAAATATCACATAAAATTATAAATTTTATAATCATGAGAAGTCATTAAATGAGTATAACATGTTGTTAAATAAATGAATGTATATCATATCACAAATGAATCTTTGAATAAAAGAAGTTAATTATATAGCAATACATTATAATATAAGTTTTACAATAACACATGATATTATAATTATATTATTTTTATTATAAATAATATCAATATATATATATATATATATCACTATCTACGGTTGGATGTTAGCTGTCACTTGTTTCCAAATATCTAAACTAAAAATATCCTTAATTAAAACAAAAGAAAAGCACTCGATTTATTAATATATTAAAGCATGTTTGGTATATGCAAATTAATTGGAGGTTGATAATTGGACGGCATGAACATCCACATAAATAAATTATCCATACAGAAGTTAGATGCTCATAGGTGGCTAACTTGTTCAAACATCTCTGACTCGTCTACATAGAACTCACAACTCTTTTTCCATACTGATGAAGGAGCATGCAACCCTTGCAATATTGTTTAGTACTTTGTGCAGCTTTTTTCTCAATGAAATAAAATTTGTATTAAAAAAAGTTTAAGGGATACTCATCCGTACATTACAACAGGTAAGCAAACATGGAACTTTAATTTGTGCCGTTTTTTTGATTAGCCTGGAAGGTTGATGGAAGTGAAGAGTAAGCCTCGTATAAGCATATACTCATACATGTTTTAAGATGTAATGAATTGAGATTCTTTTTGTACCTTTATATTAAAATTATAATTTGTTGCTAAAAAATAGGCAATAATTAGTATAAACTCCAATTCAATATATTATAAAATATATGATTGAAAATTTATTATTTTTTTGTTTGAAATTAAAAGTAGATAAAGTTAAGGAAGCAGCCATGTACACATGCAAGATACAGGAATCGGCTAAATTGATAATTTTATATTATATTTTAATGGTTAAACCAAAATGAATATCAAAAAGTGTGTTAAACTAAGTATAAATTAATCATTTTCCAAAAAGAAAAAAAAACCAACAAGAGGTTGGATCAAATGGTAAGCGGCTTGTTCTAGCTTAAGTAAGGTCTCGAGTTCGAGACCTTATGTACGCAGCAGCTCTCGCTGGGAGATTCACCCACCATTTCCAGGTGCACGACGCGGGTCGGGTCCGGATTAGTCGGGGCAAAGCTCTGGATACCGGGTGGGAAACTAAAAAAAAAAAAGAAAAAAAGAAAAAGAAAAAGAGAGACTAAGGGTGCATTTGGGATTGCGGTTGAGAGCTTTTTCGTGTAACCACACAGCATTTTTAGATATATACGTGTTTGGTAATTCTTTTTCAAATTTTTTTTTTAAAAGTCACAGATTACCACAGCAGATCTACGGTAATTTTATGTATAAAGTCAAAAATCTCATTTTGAAACTTTCTAATTATGGTTTTTACGAAGAACATCTAATATTTAATATAATTACAAAATTATCCATTAAAACTTAATTT